GTCGGTGTTGCAGCATCTGAGGAAAACTGAGAAACGAAGAAGAGCGTCCTTCTTCTTCTTCTTCTGCTGTCCCCCTGTCCTCCTCTGTTTCTGTTCCTGTTCACATTAAAACCGTGTTTTGTGAAGATGTCGGAGGATCTGCGGTCCGAACTGGAGAAATATCTTCAGACGCTGAACATCCAGACGACCTGCGTGGAGCACCCGCCGGTACAACACCGACACACACCGGCAACAGAACCCCATAAGCGAATCGTCTATTTTTAGGTTTCATTCGTGACGGTGAATCATAATAACAGCCTAGAAATATATTTACAGTACTTTTTGAGTTAGAAGGATTCGCTCTTCTATTCGGCGTCATTTATTACCCTGAGCAGCTCTGACTGTGGGGTAGTTTTAGCTTTGGAACAGCGTGTCTTCTCTGCAGCGGTGCGCCGGTGACGGACACGTGGAAGCATTCAAAGTTATTTCCTGAAGTGAAGGAGGGTTGTGTTGTTTGCAACTTGTGGGCCGAATTTACCGGCAGGTCATCCGAAGCTAAAGTCATGTGAAGACGCGATTGTGCTGCAAACTGTGTTCGCGCAGAATCACTTCAATCTGAAAATCGACCGTTTTTTCAATGGAATCTGGTAGAAGTGCGTCTCCAAGTCACCAGTCAGCCGTTTACAGACCAGTTCGTCTTAAAATACAAACACTGGTACTGCAGTCAGACCTACTATCTGGTAGAAACGTTTTTATAATGCAGAGTTTCATGTTTATTTAGGTTTAATTGGCAAACTGTAGCTCTGCAGCTGTCATAAGTTTCTGCTGCACTGACCTGCTGCGGCCTGCAGGCGGCGCCAGAAGATCATCCAGGTGGAGTCGTTCTGCAGGTGGACAGAGCAGCAGCATGTGTCTGTCAGCCTGAGCGTCCCCTTCATGTTTCCGGTCCCTGCAGGTGTTCACGGTGGAGGAGATGATGCCTCACCTGCAGCAGGTGAGCGGCGCCGTCTCCAAGAACCTCTTCCTGAAGGACAAGAAGAAGAAAGGCCTGTGGCTGGTGTCTGCTCGCCACGACCGCCAGGTGAGCTCCCTCCTCCTCCTCCTCCTGCCTCACCTGCTCACCTGGTCACCTGACACAGACCTCCTCTGTTCCTCTGCAGGTGAACCTCAACGAACTCGCCAAGAAACTCGGCGTCGGCAGCGGGAACCTGCGCTTCGCTGACGAGGCGGCCATGTTGGAAAAACTCAAGGTGGGAGCGAGTCTGGAGGTTTGGTGTCTGGTGCAAGACTTTTGTGTTTGTTTTGCATCTGTTTGTGCTTCTTTTGTGTCTTTCTGTGATATAAATATATATTTTAATGTGATTGTTTTGTGTATTTTTTGTTGTCTTCTTGTGTTTTTTTGTGTTTGTGTGTTTTTGTGTTTGTCTTGTGACTCTTTTTGTCTCTTTCTGGTCATTTTGCATCTCTTTGTGCTCATTTTGTGTCATTTTTTGCTCCTCTTTGTGGTTGTTTTCTACCTTTTTGTGATTTATTTTTGATCTTTTTTCATGTAGCTGTTGGTATTTTGTGTGTTTTGTGGTCATGTTGTGTGTTTTCGTGGTCATGTTGTGTTCAGTTTCCTTCCCTCAGGTTGTCTCTTGACCTCTGTCGTCTGTCCAGGTGGGCCAGGGCTGTGCGACGGCCCTCGCTCTGCTCTTCGATAAGGACCGCAGCGTGAAGTTCGTGCTGGACCGCGACCTGCTGGAAGGAGGCCACCAGATGGTTTACTTCCACCCCATGACCAACGCCGCCACCATGGGCCTCCGACCCGACGACCTGCTGCGCTTCCTGCAGGAGACGGGACACGAACCGATTCTGGAGAGCTTCGAGTAGGACGGAGGAGACCTGGACCTGGACCTGGACCTGGACCTTAAAAACGAGACACGAGCCGTCAAACTGGGACATAAACATGTCTCGTATCGGAGGAGGACGTGAAGATGTAAAAATCTGGGTTTTAAATATGAAATTCAAACATTTTGCACGTTATAATGAGACACTAACGAGTTTGTTTTTATGAAAACTACTCTGAGCTTTTATTGGACGCTTCCTCAGTCGGGGAGACAAACTGTATGTTTTATTGTTTTAATGTTCTGTCTGTCTTCTGGATTGTTTTCTATAAATTTCATTCAACATTCTGACATGTTTGGTGTTTTTCAGCCTTTATTTAGTTTTTTCTTTGGTTTTTGAACAGCGAGCTCCCCTTTGTCGTCACTGACTGGTGTCCAATAAACTGCTTCTATTTCAGACAACATCATCAAAAACTGAGCATTATAGACTTTGAAAGTTTTATGGGTTACAGCACATTGCAGAGATGCTCCTCCTCATGTGGTCAGTAAGTGTTCAGCATAAGCTACCAGCTAAACTCTCACTTTAACTCCTCGAGGCTTCGTCGTCAAACCCTACTGAAAGGTTCCCACATTTACACCATTTATCGGAGCCAGAAGCTGCATAAACAAAAAATATCGTCGTTCTTTTAGCTTCCCAGTGC